TATCTTGGTCAGTGTACCATGCAAGATAGAGAAGACTGTTTTATGCTGTACCAGTGTTACTTTCATGTTAGTCATTTGTACCCCAAAATGTTTAAGAATTGAAGAAAATGTAAGGATTTACTTATGTTAAAAATCTTGTGTTACTCCTTTACACCATACACAAAAATAAACTCAAAATGGATCAAAGACTTAAACATAAGACAAGATACAATAAACCTCCTAGAAGAAAACATGGGTAAAACATTATCTCACATACATCTCAAAAATGTTCTCCTAGAACAGTCTACCCAAGTAATAGAAATAAAAAGAAGAATAAACAAATGGGACCTAATTAAACTTACAAGCTTTTGCACAGCAAAGGAAACCATGTACAAAACAAAACAACAACCTACGGAATGGGAGAAAACTTTTGCAAAAGATGAAACTGACAAAGGCTTGATCTCCAGAATGTATAAGCAGCTCACATGGCTTAATAAGAAAAAAACAAACATCCCAATCCAAAAATGGGCAGAAGACCTAAACAAGCAATTCTCCAGTGAAGACATACAAATGGCCAATAGGCACATGAAAAAATACTAAATATCACTAATTATCAGAGAAATTCAGATCAAAACTACAATAAGGTATCACCTCACACCAGTCAGAATGGCCATCATTCAAAAGTCCACAAATGACAAATGCTGGAGAGGCTGCGGAGAAAAGGGAACCCTCCTACACTGCTGGTGGGAATGCAGTCTGGTGCAGCCACTGTGGAAAACAGTATGGAGATTCCTCAAAAGACTAGGAATAGATTTACCATATGGCCCAGTAATCCCACTTCTGGGCATATATCCAGAGGAACCCTACTTCAGAAAGACACCTGCACCCCACTGTTCATATCAGCACTATTTACAATAGCTAAGACATGGAGACAGCCTAAATGTCCATCAACAGATGCCTGGATAAAGAAGCAGTGGTATATTTATACAATGGAATACTATTCAGCCATTAAAATGACAACATAATGCCATTTGCAGCAACATTGGATGTCCCTGGAGAATGTCATTCTAAGTGAAGTAAGCCAGAAAAAGAAAGAAAAATACCATATGAGATCGCTCCTATGTGGAATCTAAAAAAGAAAAAAGACAGATGAACATAAATACAAAACAGAAACAGACTCATAGACATAGAATACAAACTTGTGGTTGCCGGGGGAAGGGGAGTGGGAAGGGACAGAGTGGGAGTTCGAAATTTGTAGATACTGACAAGTATATATAGAATAGATAAACAAGTTTATACTGTATAGCACAGGGAAATATATACAAGATCTTGTGGTAGCTCACGGTGGAAAAAGTATGCAACAGTGAATATATGTATGTTCGTGTATGACTGAAAAATTGTGTCCTACACTGGAAATTGACATTATAAATGGACTATGACTCAATAAAATAAAATTTTTTAAAAATCTTGTGTTAAATTTAATCACACTTATTCTTGTTCCATAAATAAAATAATTCAAATGTAAACATGTAATAATTAAATCAAAATAAAATAAGCAAATAAATAGAAAGTAAAAAAATTTTTTTAAATCTTTTCAGTTTCTGCTTTTGTTAGTATTATCTAAATCTAGGAAGTAAAATTTATGTTCTTTATTTTCAATCCTAATTTACCAATGGTAAAACAAGCATTACTATACTTTTTTTTTTTTAACAAGAAAAGATAACGTCTTTTCTGAGTGTGACAGTAGTAGTAAACCAAATGATGATGATTAAAGTAATTTCAAAGAGATAAAGACCAAAAGAGTTTGTGCTGATTTTGTTGGGAAATATTAATCCCTCCTATATTGAGTTCAGTTTTTAACCATTATTAATTTGGAAGTGTTAAAACCACAGTGGGTTATTTGCAGTGATATACTGGCTGCTAAAACAATAAACCCAATAAAATTTAAGTGGCATTTATATGCATGACATAATTATACTCACAGCCAGAAATGCATTATTTGAAAGAAAGAATATTATAGTTAAGAAGCTGGCAGAAGCAGATCGTCAGTATTCCATATGTGATCATTAGTGTTTTGTGAGCTTCTTTTATAGTCTGACTTCTGGTTGCTAACATTAAAAAAAACTATACATAAATGACAAGACAAAGATGTTTGCTTGGAGATGTTGGATAAGTCTGTAGCAATGGAGGTAGTTCATATAATACTTGCCAGCAACACCCATAGCTTGATACATTTGGGAACAGTTTAGTGATATAGAAGACCAACTCTTAGACAAATCAGGATAGCAAAGGAATTTTTATTGTAATTTGATGAGCATATTGATTGTGCTGACATGACAGTAATGTGAAGGAAACATTTATTTTTCAATTTCCTTGCTGACAAGCTTGCTTGCTCTGAAGTATATAAAACTTTAAAGGGTTAGCAAATCAACATATGTGGTTCACAGTTTTCCTTTGCTTTTTGCAGGAGAATGTTCTGACTATATAGAGATAGTGACAGGGAAAAAATACTAGAACTTGTGCCAGAATATAAATCTTTGTCCTGCTTCTTTCATTGAGAAAGTCTTTGTTACGTCAGCTGAACTAAACAGTGTACTTGTTAATCAGCTAAATTTAACCATTCACTTAAAGTGTAAATTACTTAAGCATAATACATTAAACCTCAGGTTTAAGAAAAAGTAAATGATAGTTTGGAAGCTGAGCCAATCATCTGTTACCATATGCTGCATTATACAATCATTTTCAAAGGGAAATTTTCAGATAAAAGTATTTGATCTTCAGGATGAATACTTCATGTTTTTGCAAGATAAGAAACCAGGGTTTGTAAATCAACTGTGCTTCAATTTAAAAAAAGAAAAGAAACTAGTTTGGTCCCCAGCTTTAAAATATGAGTTAGACTTATTTGTCTGACAGCTTTATTCTTTTTTTTTTTTTAATGATCTTAGCCTTCCATGCAAGAAAGGAATGTTAAATGTTTTCATTGTTACATATGGTCAAAGGGCAAAAATGAAAGTTAGAAATTTGGGGGGAAAATTTTTCCAAATTGTTATGAAGAGTTCCACAATATATTAGTAAATAGGTGATGATTTTAGTATTGCACATTTGCAGAATGTTATAATCAAATAAATACCTTATGGATTTGTTAAGACACACTTTGAATTTTGTATTCTATCAAAAGAAAACCCACTGATAGGAATGAGTAGATCAAGAATCCATTATTTTTGATCAAAATTATTTTTTAATTCTTTTTTTGAAGGGAGGAGGTAATTGATTTGATTGTTTTTTTTTAATCTGTTTACTTATTTAATGAAGGTACTGAGGGTTGAACCTAGGACTTCGTGCATTCTAAATGTGCTCACCCACTGAGGTATACCCTCCCACCTCTGTCAGAATTATTTTAGATTTAACTATAATTTTGCTGGATAAATGATTGGAACTGGCTACCAATAAAAATTGAGGACAAATTTTGAAAGGCATCGTTTTATGAGTTTGGGGTAAGAGTTAAAAATGAAAATCCTGAGCTTGCTGAAATTGCTTTCAAGCCTCTTCTCCTACTCTTGTGAAACTAATTTCTCTGTTGTAAGTGCTGTTAAAAGAAATCGTAGAGGTAGTTTAGATATACCGTATCCCTTGTGATCAATGTTGTCATCAGTCCAACCTAGATTAGGTAAATTAACAAGAATGGTGCCAGCCTCCAGGAGAACCACTGGAAAGCTCTACCTCCTGGTATTGACACCTGTGTAATCCCCCTCCACGTTCAGCATGGGGTTGATGTGAAAGCCTGTCACTTCTGAGACTAGGTCGTGACAGAGACTGCAGTGTCTGTCTTGGTTGTTGTGTCGCTTTCTCTATGGAAGCCAGCGGTCTTGTGGTGAACAGCCCAGTAGAGAGACTGAGGGACTGAGTCTTTTGGCCAAGAGCCAGTGAGAAACTGAGGCCTTTTGGCATCAGCCATGTGAGCGAGCTTACAGGCAAATCCTTCAGATGACTGTAGCCCTGACCAGCATCTTGACTAAAACCTCATAAGAGACCCTGAATCATAACCACACAGCTAACATGCTTCCAGATTCCTGACCAGCAGAAATTGTCAGATAATAAATGTATGCTGTTTTAAGCCACTAAGTTTTGGCATAATTTTTTATGCAGATAGTAGATAACTAATACAAAAAACAAGAAGCAAGCATATTTATTACATTAAAGACTATAAATATTGACTTATATGCTATTAGTTCAAAGTGTGTGAATTGGTATTTAATGTGAGGAATTGCTGTTTCACTCATAATTTTTGGTTAATAAGAATTATGAAATGACAAAAGTTGCTCGTATGATGACTATTTTCTATAATTATATGCATACTTCCAGTGAAAATTATGCAGTTTTCTGTAATTCTTTTCTTTTTTCTATTTATTCTATTATCAAAATATAATTTTGTGGGTCTGAATCTAGTAAAACATTTGGACTTGTATCTTGTATTGTCCTTCTTACTTTTATTTTTTCAGTAGTTCATTTTTCATTTTCAGTGTTTTCCAGTAGTTCGACACCAAAGTGTTGGCCCATGATGGAATGAAATTTATAAGTAGAAGGAAAAAGAAAGCGGTTCTTCACCACATACAGTCCACATTAGGTCCCCTGTAATAGTTTTCATAATACCTTATTGTGAGGGTTGTCTTGCTTTATTATAATTGATTATATTCCATGTTAAACTGAAAGCTTTATGAATGTCATAGTCCATGTCTCCATGTGTGAGTTTCCTGTTACATCTTCAGTATTCAGAACAGTGAATGGTACTTAGCAGCTACTCAGTAGATACTGGTCGAAAGAATTACTGTTTTTTTGTTTTTTGTTTTTTTTTAATTGTTAGAATAGTGATTAACTTCCATAGTTATAAATAAGTTGACTTGTTTATAGCTATATGTCCTCAGGGGAATGGTAATTGTTTATGGTGAATAGAAAATACTCTTGGCACTCTTCTTACTGAATATTAGGTATTTTTAAAAAAAATTGTATCTTTATTTCCATAGCACGACCACTGCCTCTGAAGAAGATGTCTCAAGTAGATATCCCCGAACAGATAGAAGTGGGTTCAGCAGATATAACAGGGATGTAAGTGCTTCAGGTAATTTGGTCTCAAGTAGCACATTGGAAAAGAAAATTGAAGATCTTGAAAAGGTATGAAATGCAAATTATTTAAGATTTATAAAATTAATATTCTATTAGGATTCCTTTTTTACTTTCATAGCAGCTGAGAGAAAGTAAACTGAAATTTGTGAGGAAAAGCCAATGCCAACAAAGGGAAGGAATGAGGAGCACTAATGAAAGATGCCAGTAGTGTTAATTGGTATTTCTATGTGTAGTCAAGCAGCAGCTTTGAATCACTGTCTTAAATATATATTTTCTAGATGCATAGTGGCTAAGCATCTTCTGATTTTCTTAAAACTTTAATATCCAGTTCTGTTGATGTTCAAACTTCTAGAAATGGAGCCACTTCTTGTATTCTTTAATATTTAATGGATACTCTCATTTTGCCAAGTGTTATCTTTAATATATTGAAAAGAATCTTTGCCTTCGAAATGGTTAGAAGTCTGTGCTGGCGATATGTACTACTGAGTGTTTATTTTATTATCTACAGATTGTCATTTATAGACTTTCTTCTGAGTTATGAGTTAGAGCCTAGAGCCACTGTGGAGTTTGAAACAATTTCAAGAATAAACCTGTTAAGGAATATCTTTGAGAACATCTCAAGTGAATATTGGCATTAATTTATCAACTATGGGGTCTCAAGTTTATTCTATAGACATTCATCTGCTAAGGTTAATAATGGTGCTTAATTACTTTATGATTGTTGGAAATATGTTTTGTTTTGCTGAATTGAAACTGTTCCCTGTAATATAAAGGTTGTTTTAAGTAGAGATTGAATTACAAAAAGAATTTTTATAACATTATGATTATTTTTAGTTCACATTTGAGCTTTAACACTAGTTTCTATAGGTTTAAGTTAAAAACTTTAGGGAATACGTAGTCTAATCATTTTTGAGGGGGCTTTTCAGAGGGGCTTTGGAAGTTCCACATGAGTTTGGATTGTGTTGCTAGTAGTTGGCAGCAGCTGATTAATGAGGCTGGCTGGCTGTTTTCTCTGAGGGTTAGTAACGAAGAAGCCAAGTTCTGGGCAAGACCTTTTCAGTTCTGCTTCTTTTTTGCCCCCAAAGTGGCTGACCTAGCTCAAGATTCTGGATTCTACATAAGATTTCTTTGAAAAAGGTGCTGCATCATTTGAAGACAAAAAAATTTAAAAACCAGTAATCATTTTTAGTTTCTTCATTTTCATCCGTTGTCAGTTAACTGGCAGAGCCAGATGTAAAATTGAGGACCATTATTTGTCTGTTTAGAATTTTCCATAGAGCCATGTCTTTTTCTTAAATTTTGTGTTTTTAATAAAAATTTTGAATGTCCCCAAACAGAATATTATTCATGAAAATATAAGATATTTTATTACTAACGATTGTGATAAGCTAAAGAGCTAAAGTCACACTATTAGTATTTGTTAAAAACTTGGGTAAACAGACTTAATCAGAAGCATATTTTACAACTCCTGTATCCCTCTCATTCTCCGGTTCTTTTCTGGGATATGGGTTCTTCCTTTCCTCACCAAGTGACTTAAGAAATTAATTGGAGATCTTCATATATCTGAGGTACTTCATCAAACTTGGCAGATGTGCTATTTAAGATTATAAATAACCCATTACTTACCAATTAATGCTTTGTAATTGTATCAACTAGGAAGTGGTAAGAGAAAGGCAAGAAAACTTAAGACTTGTGAGACTAATGCAAGATAAAGAGGAAATGATTGGAAAACTCAAAGAAGAAATTGATTTGTTAAATAGAGTGAGTATTCATATATATTTCTGTTTACGGTTTCCATTTTTTATGGCAATTGGATAAAAAGTACATAAATATGAAAACATTATTTAATTTTATATTTTAGTTCATTCTTTTGTTAATGAGATAGTAATTTGTGGTGATCAGAACCATCATTTCATCCCATAAACTGATTCCTCTGGCCAATTATCAGTTGTATTTACTTAATATTATTCTTTTGGGGATGGACCAGGTGAATGGATTTAGTCTGTGTTCTGTTGGAGTCTGGAGGTGAGAAGCAGCTTGGTCAGCACCACATAAAAGGGCTCTGGCATAGAGTTGCCTTAGTGAGGAACTAAAATTGCTGCTTTCTTGCCATAAGAAACTATATGTCATTGTGTGTATTTTCACTTTTTTTTTTTCTCCAGTTATATGTATGCGTCCTGGCTTTAGGTTCAGCCTTACCCTAGGGTCTCTATTACTACTGTTCATAACTCTTTTTTTTTTTTTTAATCAGTTTCAGCTCTAGAATTTACTTCCTGCTTAAGAAGCAGGTATTAATGCTAGGCCATACTTAGGTAATGATAATGAGAACAGATTTCATAGTTTTGCCTTTTAGAAGGCTTTACATAAGATAGAGGAAAGGAACAAGTTTGGTTCAGGGAGAAAAGGAATGAACAAATTCCTAATCCAGTCTTAACTCTAATTCTAGAAGAAGAGAAAATAGAAAGCTTCATTATGTGCAGACTCGGTCTAATGAAGCTGTAAGGCATTAACTGCAGGGTGTAGATGAGGACACTGAAACTCAAGAGTTTAACTTGCTCAAGGTCATACATAGTAATCACCTAGAAATCTGCTGAGCCAGTATTTGACCTCAGGTCTTTGACAGTGTTAATACTAAGGAAGCTCTTCCATTCTTATAGACTGCCTTTCATCTTGGTTCAGAACACAAGCATTCCTCTATTATTTCTGTAATATGATATAAAATCTGCAAATATTTTTGATGTCTGTGATCTGTTGGCACTGTCTTAGACACTGTGTGCATTAAAAAGAAAAATGAACCACCTGCCCTTACAGGTTTATAATCTAGTAATGATACATGAGTATATTTTTTCATTTAATTCTGTAAGTCTTAGGTGGGTCTCAATTGTAGTAATTTTAGCAATCTAATATCTTCATTATTGTTATTTTCAACAAATTAATTTCCTATTATCATTCAGTTTGTGAGTAAATACAAATTCTGTGTCTGTACATTTTTAAATCATTTACCTAATTGTCCAAAGACAGTATACTAAATGTATCAGAATGCAGCTATTCAGTAGCATACTTAGAATTCACATTGATTTCTCCAAGTTTAGTATTTTGAATTTCAAGGATAAAGCTATAAATATAAATGTCTGCTTTTCCAACCATCAATAAATAATCTGCCTTAAAATAGTGTTTCTTCTAACTAAAACTTATAGTGGATTGTTCTCATGTTTACCAAATGGTTGTATATGTGGCACTGGGATTAATTTATGGAATGTGGAGCTGGAATTGGATAACTTTAAAGCTGGGAGGTGATTACCTAGTTTAGTGGCTTTCACATTTTTTTTTAAGCTCAAAAACCTTTCTCTCAAACAAAACGTCATAGAGAAGCCTAACATAAGCTGAACCAGATGAACTCTATAAGCCCTAGATCTCCTTTTCTGTGGGCCTGAGTTCTCTCCCCTCCCGGGTTCTTATCCCCCAACACGTACACAGATCACACCAGGTAGTAGGAGTACATTCAGAACTTGCACCTGGATCGTTCTGATGCCTAATTTGACACAAAGTTGCTATCTAAGGCCCTAGACCTCATACTTGCTACTTATGTATTTTGTTTAGCCCTCAATTTGAGGAAGGAGGGATTTGTTTTTAACTAAAAATTTAAAGTTATTTATAATGATTAAAAATTGGAAGATTCACAATTAATTCTGATTTCTGGCTTCTGTTTAAAAACTGAGAGATCTGGCGAGAGCTGGCCTGTAATACCGTGATACCAATGAGGAGTCGAGTAGTGGATGCTGCCTTTGGGTGGGGCATAGTCTATCCAGAGCTCTTTTCAGAGGTAGCCCTTGTTTCCAATTGAATTACTTGTAAGAATTATCTTTGAATGTGTATTTTGAAGTTTTTTTTTTTATCACTTTCAGAATATTTTTAAGTATTTTAAAAACTCACGTATTGTTTTCCTTTTTGTTTCCTTAAGGACCTAGATGACATAGAAGATGAAAATGAACAACTAAAGCAGGAGAATAAAACTCTTTTGAAAGTTGTTGGGCAGCTAACAAGGTAGAAGATTCAAGGCTCAGTGTGGAAAAAAATATTTTAAAACTACTGATCGAATGTTATGGTTAACGCTAGGACAATATTCCTATGCAAGTATGTATATTTATTTCTAGAAAACAGTGGATGTTTATTTTCAAAATATTTCTTTTTCATTATCAGTTTCAAAAAAAATCAACCATTTATTTCACAAAGAAGTAACCACTTTTAGTTATTAAACTTGTAGGTTTATGCCTCTTTTGGTTTTGTGTGGTATTCAAGTAATACATAGTTTAAAGTCACAACGATTTGAATATATTTCATCTGTGGGAATGCATTTTCTCCCTAAGAGAATATACATAGTCTTTGTTTACATGAATTCAAATACTTTTTGGGGAGTTACCTGCAAATGCCTTATCACTGATATGTGCAACCTTTTATTCATAAAGGTCTTTGTCTACAGTCTGTTCTTTCAACTTATTCTAAGCAACTTAGAGGAATATAGAGTCACGCTATTTTGTATAACAGTCATCTTTAAAAAGGAAAACTACTATAAAATGTCACTTAATATCATGTACTAGTTGACTAAATATAAAATTTAAGAGAATACTTGAATTGTGCTCTCGTAAATTAAAATGTACTATTTTGTTTTCAAGTACTGAAAAAACTTTAAGTCACTTTGACTTCTAAAAGACATACAGTTGTACTTTTAAAGTAAAATTTCTTATGTAGGTACTCTTTTTATTATTCCAAGGTTTATAAGTGAACATGGGGTTTTTAAAAGGTGTTTTTATTCATGAAGCCTAGAGAGTGTACAATTTCAGCATATAAGAAAAAAAATCCACATTTTAAATTATCATATGCATTAAAACCAAAAGGAAACTATTTATCCACACAAAACATTTATACTTATGTTAATAATACAGTACATAAACAGAAATCATACTGAAATACTTTGCTTAACTTCTAACTTGGAGAGTAACACTGTAACACAGTTGTTCTCATGTGGAGAATTATGCCCCTACCTCAAATTTAAGGGATTTTCTTCCTAACATTGGATTTTTTAAAAACAGAATTATTTTGAAGAATTATACAGATTTTCTCTTCTATTAAATATCATTAGTGTTTAGAGTTGTTTTATATTACATTTTCATGTTGAGTAAGAAAGCCCTCTCCTTTAAAATACATTAAGAAATGTCAGCCTTGATAGTGTACTAATGCCCTTTTATCCAATTAATGTATGTAAATGTCTTGAACATAGTAAAATCCATTTTGGGTACCCTTCTGACTCTTTCTTTTACTTGCTAAGCCCCTTCATTATTTGTTTTATTAGAAAGATAGGGAAGGTAAGACAGTTAGAAAAAGCGCAGAGTAAATGCTGAATTTTAATACTCTCTGCAATAACCTAGGTGTCCCGTCCC